ATCCCCTGGACAAGCAGGCGGCTTCATCCCAATCATAGTTGTCAATTCCGTTTGTGATCTTAAATAATCATCATGGTTGAAATCTGTGTGTTCACCAAACGCCACACAATGCCACGACACCATAACCAAAATGCAGGTTCTCTTCCCCCATCTGAAGTTTGACTCAGGGATGTCCATCTTCGCCAAAGGCCAGTAACCGCACATCTGACCAAGTCGCAGCAAGCAATGGCCATCCAGTTTTAATGCTTCCTCAGGCCAAATTGCAACCTATATCCACATACGGATTTGTGGCAATATACCATATAGATCAATATGTGATCTCTCTCTCTCTCTCACTCACTCACTCACTCTCTCTCTCTCTCTCTCTCTCCGTCTCTTGGTTGATATATCTCTACTAATCAATCGATCAATGAAATATATACTGCAATCAATTGTATAAACATAGTTAGACTATGATATGTTAATATATATATATATATGTGTGTTTTTTAATGTACAACTCTTGCACACACACATACATATATATATATATATTCTATATATAGTATTACATAATTCTACATCATTCTATATCAAAAATGGTTCAGATATAGCCTATCCTCCGTCATCTCTTCCAGGCCACGATCTCAGGCCGCGAAGCCAAATTCCGCAGGGCAGTTCGCAAGCCGCAGCTGTCAGCCGCCATCAGCACCTGCGCCGCCGTGCGCCATGGTGCCATGGCGCCGTGGGGATGGACATCGATCACCATGGGAGTCCGATCCAACGTGATTTCTTTGGAAAAAATGGTGATCTATGGTGGAAAGTTACTATGGGAATCTGGTGGGAAAAAATGAATTCAATATCATTCAATGTCTTTTTTGCATCTTCTTGCCAACATTGAATCCTTCTTGGGTGTGAAAATTGGGAATCGAACATGGCTAGCGGCTAGGAAATCCACCAGTACCGGAGGGTAATCATTGAAATCTTAGGGCTTCAACCAATCATTTTATGATGAGGGATGCCTTAAGGGGATGCCCCCGTCAACATACCTCAGAATAATTATAATATTATTCCGGCACCCGTTGAGTTCAAAAAAATAAATTATTCTAAGAACTCATGAGTTCATATGGAAAAATGGAATAATTTCCATCAAAATGATACCGGTATAGTCTATTTCTAGCCAAACGCAAGTGATCGTAAGCAGCTGCGCGCAAACGGCCGAGAACGGTTTCCCTTCTTGCAGAGCTGGGGCACAAATTTAAACAATTTTCAACATACTCAGATAGGATCAAGAAGAGTCAGGATAGTATCTTTAAACAAATTTCCTCTCAGCAACCCACTGGCTGAACATGGTTTTAGTTTGTTTTGGGTGTTTGAAACTGGGCTAGTTTGGTGGTTCTGGCCTTAGTGGAAATGAGTGGGAAAAGCAAAATATTTGGTTGTCACTGGTTAATTTTTTTTGCAAATTTCTGGATTTGTTTTGTGATTGTAGCAGCTGCCCCCTTTTGTTTTTCAGGAGTGCCATGCATCTCCAATACCTCCAGAATAATTTCTCCCCTGGGGAAAGCCCGGAGAAAAAAAAACAACTTGGCTCTCTTCTAGAGGTTTTCCCAACTTTGCGTCCGCGCCCCTATTTCTTCCATATTCCCTTCATTTCCTTCCAAAAAACTCCCGTTGGCCATAGTGGGAATGGGTGGGAAATGTGTGGGGTTTCATTTGTTTTGGCAATTCTTGCCAATTTCTGGGCTAATTTTGTGATTAGCTGTCCGCTTTCGTTTTTGAGGGGTACCAGGCATCTCCAATACCCCTAGAATAATTTCCCCCCTGGGGAAAGCCCACACAATGGCACTCAACCTGGCCTTTTCCTAGGTATTTTCCTAACATTCCCCATTCATTGCCACCCAAAGAGCTCTCGAGAGAAAGTACCGTGAGAGAAAGGTGGTCCGGTCGACACTAGTTGTGCGTGCAAGTATGCTGCAAAAAAAGGTTGGCAGCAATTGCCCAAACTGCATGATGCCTTAAATAACTGCAATTGGCATTTCCAGCAAAAAGTTTTCAGGCAAACACCGCCAAGCTAGGAATGGCTTTTGGAAAGGCCAGGCCAAACCTAGGAAGTATAGGCTGCTTCAAGATGTTTTAAGTTACCAAAAATTATTCCAAAACCTAATTATTCCGGGGTATCTTGACGGGCTGGATCATGATTTTCAAATGCCAACATGCATAATCGTATACCTACCCCCCTCAAAAATTATTCCTTGAAAATTATTCCAAAAGAAATTATTCCATAACCTAGTTGATAGCCTGGAATAATTTCTTAAGGCATGGGTCATATTTTATGGTGATATAGACATGTTGAAATGTATTATACAAATGGGATGCATAATGTTACATAACAAACGTACAATTCAATGATACTTGGGGGATTCAATTGGGGGGGTTCTGTGGGATAGGAATCTATCACCAATGTTGGATTGGCTGGCACAAATGTAAAACATGATGGTATTTGTGATAAAGAAACTATATCATAACCAACCATTCTATGGGTATATAGTGTATAACCAAGCTACAATGATACTTGGGCATGTCTGAGAATGGAGAAATTAACCCTAATATAACTAATATACCCTAATGTATTTTGGGGTACCTTATTTCGAAATTGGACGTAAGATGATTGAAAAGAAACACACAGCGGATCTTAAAGAGTGAGGATGAAATGGAGTCAGCATATTAGAGACAGGAGAGATTGATCATCATTATTCGAGGATATCAACTGATAACATATTCGATCCTAGCAACAGGCTATGTAATTCCATATGGATCGAGAAAAAACTAAATAAATAAATAAATAAATAGATAGATAGTAGATAGAAAGAAAGATAGATAGATAGAATGATAGATAGATAGACCATTAGAAAAAAAAAAACATGAACAAGCATATTCATTGATGAGTAGGTTTTCTCATGAACCACCATCTTAAATTGGATGATTTCTCATTATAAATATATATATATATAAAGCTTATCTAAGATAGATATAATATGTATATATATATATATACCACTGAATTGTCCCAGAAAATAGAACCCTTTATGTGGGCCCCAACTGGTAAACACCTGCTCGCTGATGCCGTGTGCTGCGGGTGCTGCTGCTGCTGCAGCTGGGGACTCCTCAAAGGAAAGCCCGGGACTGAAACAACTCTAGGATATATATATATATATAAATATTAATATATATAATTCACCCATACAAGTAATTAACTGTATATGTCAGTTCTTTTTGGGGTAAGTATGGGCCAACTACCGTAGTAATTGAAACAACGAAACATAGTTGGAGATGAAATATGATGAAATGAAATAGTTACGTAGGTAAGACTCCTAGATGCCTCGGAAATGCTGAGCTGTGGAACTGAGATCCTCTGCCAACTGCATCCGAGGTTCTGGAGATGCGTCAGCGGAGCTCACAGGCTGAAGCACCTTGGCTTTTGGTGTCTTGGCTTTGGCTTTGGCTTTGGCACTTGCCTTGGCTTCTCCTTTTGCTGCGGACTGCGGCTTTTCCTCCGAGGTGGTCCTCCCTGTTCCCTTTGCTTCAGCTTTTGCTTTGACTTTCGCCTTGGCCTTTGCATCGGCTTTGGCTTTTGCTTTTGCAAGTGCCAGGAGGCCCTTCCTGAGACCGAACACAGTAAAGACAAACATCCGGCAGCAAGTGTTTCCAAAAAATATGTTCAAATGGAAGTTTCCTAAATGGTTCCCCCAAATCATCCGTTTTAATAGGATTGTCCATGAAAAACCTTCCATTTATGGGGTACACAATTTTGGGAAACCCGCAAATAATTATGCAGTGTAATCTCTCACATTTGCAGCTTCAGATTCTTCTTGCCCTTGGGCACCTCTGCAGTCGCAGCAATATCCTGCAGTGGATCAAGAACTGGCAAAAACTTGTGGGAGCTGGGAGCCTGGTCCGACAAAATCGACAAATTTGCAAATGAATATACACTACGCCTGACAGACCTCTGATCATCTTAAGGAAACTACCGGCACTATTCATTGCATTTCATTGCCACAGCAGTTGGGCCTCTTCATTAGACCCTTTCTCTGATTTCGCATCACTGTTCTCTGGCACCTACCAGGATGCCACAGTCGGCCATCGGCAAACGTTGCATGTGTGAAAAGCTGGGCAGTTGCAGAGTCATGATTATAGTATAGTATAGTCATATTAATATATATATACTATATTTTATATGATTCGCATCAAGCCACAGATTGGACATGTTTAAAATTATATATTTTTTTCATTTATTTTTCATTTGGGTTTTCATTTGTAACTTCATTTTTTTCATTTTGTTTTTCAATCTTTTTTTTGTTTTCATTCATTTTTCATTTTTTGTTCATTTTTTTTTCGTTTTTTGCTTCTCCAAACTTCATTCTTTTTTCATTTTCCTTGCCCGTGGCACCTGAAATCCAGGAAAGCCATGAAAAACAATGAAAAACAATGGAATACCATCAAAAACAAAGGAAAATGAAAAAAAAAATGAAGTTGCAAATGAAAAAAAATGAAAATTTGGACTCAAAGTTGCAGATTCTCACTCCGAACCAGGAAATCTTCAAAAACTCGAGGAAATTTTCATTTTTTTTTCATTTTTTTTCATTTTTTTTTCATTTTTTTTCATTTTTTTTCATTTTCCTTTCCCGTGGCACCTGAAATCCAGGAAAACCATGAAAAACAATGAAAAACAATGGAAAACCATCAAAAACAAAGGAAAATGAAAAAAAAATGAAGTTGCAAATGAAAAAAAAATGAAAATTTGGACTCAAAGTTGCAGATTCTCACTCCGAACCAGGAAATCTTCAAAAACTCGAGGAAATTTTCATTTTTTTTTCATTTTTTTCATTTTTTTTTCATGTTTTTTTCATTTTCCTTTCCCGTGGCACCTGAAATCCAGGAAAACCATGAAAAACAATGAAAAACAATGGAAAACCATCAAAAACAAAGGAAAATGAAAAAAAAATGAAGTTGCAAATGAAAAAAAATGAAAATTTGGACTCAAAGTTGCAGATTCTCACTCCGAACCAGGAAATCTTCAAAAACTCGAGGAAATTTTCTATTTTTTTCATTGTTTTCTTTTTTTTTCATTTTTTTTTATTTTTTTTCATTTTCCTTGCCCGTGGCACCTGAAATCCAGGAAAGCCATGAAAAACAATGAAAAACAATGGAAAACCATCAAAAACAAAGGAAAATGAAAAAAAAAAAAAGGAAGTTGCAAATGAAAAAAAAATGAAAATTTGGACTCAAAGTTGCAGATTCTCACTCCGAACCAGGAAATCTTCAAAAACTCGAGGAAATTTTCATTTTTTTTTCATTGTTTTATCATTTTTTTTTCATGTTCCTTGCCCGTGGCACCTGAAATCCAGGAAAGCCATGAAAATCAATGAAAAACAATGGAAAACCATCAAAAACAAAGGAAAATGAAAAAAAAAAATGAAGTTGCAAATGAAAAAAAATGAAGTTGCAAATGAAAAAAAAATGAAGTTGCAAATGAAAAAAATGAAGATAAAATGAAAAAACTGAAGATAAAATGAAAAAAATGATGATGAAAATGATAATGAAAATGAACATGAAAATGAAAATGAAAAAAATGAAAAAATAATAATTTTTGATGGTCTCAGACTGTAGCAGTAAGAATCTTATAAACTATATTATATAACATACATATATAATAAATTACATATATATATAATTAGACATATATATATATATACGAGTCATGGTATATAATAGGATCCACTGGTTTCAAATTCACTCAGTGATTTCCGGATATTTCCTGCGCAGCGATTCTCCGGAGAACCTCGGCCGTGCTCTTCGTCCGCGTGGAACGCCGCTTCTTTGCGGGCTGCTGTGGCCTCAAAAGCCCGCATGGCCAAGCAGCTTGCCAAGGAGGTGATATGTTTTTTGTGTAACAAATATGTGTATGTGCATCTGTAATATACTCAATACTGATACATAATTTTAGATGTTACTATATAATGTTATCATATATGTTATACATAGATATAGATATAGTGCCTATATAAATGTTGATCAAATATGATTGAACCCGGCTCAGTGCCCAGCTCTTCGTCGCCTGCAGAATCCTCTCGACTCCTGGGCGCAAATCGCAGGATGTGAAGCGATTCCACGGTTGGGGGATGAGGAATCCAAACGTTTGTAGATTGTTAAAGGTGAACCTGCTAATAAATATGCTAACATATGCTAACCTCTTATACTTGTATATGATACGTTAGTATATGTGAAAAATCTTCGATTTCAAAAAGACGCAAAAGGGTCATAGGAAAGCCTTGATGGAGAAGTCTTACCTCCATCATATTGAACGAGTCCGAAATTGCAGAAATGCCAAGCTCACCATGCAGCGAAACATGCGTTGCTCCCTAAGCAGTTAGGAAACAACTTTCCCGTGGTCAAATCCAACCGCAGCACCGGCAGCACCTGCCTCAAACTACGCTGAAGTTGTTGATACGCTGGTCTATGTTGGTCTGAAATGTCCAAATAGGTGTTCTTTGAAGAACAAATAGCATTAATCAATGTGGACATGCCTTTTTTGTCAACTTATATAATTGTATATTTCGTTCCAGTTAGAAATAACTTATACAATTGTATATTTCGTTCCAGTTAGAAACTGAAAGTGCCGCACCTCTAAACATTCACTGTTAAAGAATCATTTAAGCTGCCGCTTGTGTTGAAACTGAGTGACTCAAGGCAGCACTGCTTCAACATGCTTCAACCCCCCGCCGATCGACCAAGGATCTGCTGATTTTTCTTGGTCTTCTTGCTCTTCTTGGCCTCTAAGAAACAGGTACAAGTATAGCAAGCAATGAAACAAGCAGAAAACAATGACATATAATATCATTTAATGACATCTCTCCAGCCTCTCCGTTGCTCTCCTCCGTTGGTGGCTGCCTGCAACTTCCGAAACAAATTTAATATGGCAACTCAAAAGAAATGTTTGGCAAACCCATGCTTCAAAGTCACGACAAAATGAAGACATGATGAATGTAAGTAACAAGACTTAGGTTGCACCATATCGCCCACCAAAATGCAAAGGTGTACCCGGACCCTGGGCTACCCAGCACACATGCATCGCGATCATCGCATGTGCGAATTGAAAATGATGACTTGACTTTACTCAATTCTTGCATCTATTGACATCTGTTCAACTGATGGAGGATTCCAGGACTATCAAAGACTCCAGCGGCCTTCATCGATGAGCAGAGATGAGACAAAATTCGGCAGCATGCTCCATTCCAAGGACCATGGGTCACGTGTTCCACTAGCGTGATCTCCAATTTGTTCAGGTTCAAACTAACCCGACGTTCAACTTCCCCATATGGGACCCAAATGAATAGATCCAGTGCACAATGACCACTTCCAACCGAGCTACTTTCTGGTCTTGGTGACTGCAAGTGGTGGGTTGTTCACAAACCTTGGATGCTTGCTGCTTGACGAATTCGAAGCTATTGCATGCTAATTGCATCAAGAAGCTGTCATGCATGGCACCAACTAGACTGAGGAAGCATGATATTGATATAATTTATGAACATTGTACAAGTATATAGTTTATGTACACAACTTGTTTTATACATGCCCATCTTCCAACTCACCAAGCCCAAAATATTTTAAATCCACCTACCATCTCATCATCAACAAAACCATAGGGGGGATACACACTTTCCAAATTCCAATCAAAAAATGGTCAAAATCATCTTTTCAACGAGACCCCCAAAAGCCAATAGAGATGGATAAGGTGGCATAAACTATGATTTCGGGGAATAGATACATAAGAATGGGAAGATGGGCAAGGCCATGAATCACGGCCCTCTGCAACAAAGAGCGCAGGAGAAATTCCAACACATTGCCGGCCAACAAGACTGAAACAATTTTTCTTGCGAACTGTGCTGGGTGAAACGGGTGAAACAGTGCCAAGTTTCCAAGTTTCATACACGAGACAATTTCCACGCTAAGGGCTCTGCCGCCAAATGTTCCACCTCTGTATCGCTCAACTCTTGTGAGTCGCTCATGTGGGCCTGTTCTCTACGATTTGGTAGAGAGCCTAAATGCTTGTGTTTGAGAAGCCGACATGCCCGCACTCTAAGATTGAAGAAATGCACTACTCCTGCCACGCTCACTTTCATGTACTTGGGTGTGTTGGCATCATCAAGCCAATCGGGCGCATGTCTAAAAGAAACCTTCACATCAGCCAAGTTTGCCACCTTCTGCACTTCATCACTGATAGTGCTTTTGGTGATGACATCGTATTTGGCAGTCTTCTCTGTGCTACCATGTCCTTTCAAAGTCAGTTTTGTAGCCTCGGTGTAGTTGAACTCGCGGTTCTGCAAGTCCTCCACCGCCTCCCTCAAGTCATTCTGACACTGGCTGTAGGTGATGATAAGCCCGTCTCCAATCTTGAACCTACCCTCGCCATCCGTTTTCCCGCCGTATTTAGTGCAAACAGTCCCCACGAAGGACTGCACTGTCTCACGCGCATCTGCCCCACGAGCCAAAAATGTAGGCGTCGAAGGGGTGCTCACAGAGCATTTCGTCCGGTGGTTGCACTTCAACGGGCAACTTCATGGTGGGCAAGAAAGCAATCATGTTGGTCTTCTCGTCCTCCTCTTCGTTATTTGCATCATACATGTCGTGCAGTGTCTGAAGCAAGTGCCAACAGTTCGACTTGTCGCTCACATAATCTGACCATGCGGAAACGTGCTCCCCATAAGTCTCCTTCATGGCATCCAGCCACAACGGTTGCAAATTCACAGAGCCTGGAATTCCAGCATGTGCTCCATGGCAATTCTTTGCGATCACACCACCCAAGGGTTTCTCCCTTGAAGCACTGTAGGCACTTGGGGCAAATTCGCTTCGCCCAAAACCATATCAGACAGACCATGCCCATCTTCCAACTCCTGTATCTATCCCCCGAAATCATAGTTTATGCCACCTTATCCATCTCTATTGGCTTTTGGGGGTCTTGTTGAAAAGATGATTTTGACCATTTTTTGATTGGAATTTGGAAAGTGTGTATCCCCCCTATGGTTTTGTTGATGATGAGATGGTAGGTGGATTCAAAATGTTTTGGGTTTGATGAGTTGGAAGATGGGCAAGGCCTATCCTAACTGATATATACTTTATTATACTGTATGTTATATATTGTATCATATAAGGCTCAAGAAATGCAAAATAAATCAAAATAAATGACTAAGTTCAAATCCATCAATCCCACTGTAGCTATACTTCTATACGTACAAATGTGTGATTGTGCACGGATTAATTTGCATGTATGCTCATGCATATTCCGAAGATATCTCCAAAGATTTGGGACAAGCCGCTATCACCATACCTCTGTAAGTTCAACCCACATTGGCAACTAGGAACATCATGGAACATCTAGTAACTAGATGTAACGAATGAATACAAATGATGTAACGCCCACACGATTTGGATAGCTGAGCATCTCTTCTGCTTCTTCACGGGTGGCAAAGCTGCGGTACACAACCTGAGGCGTCCATGGGGGCCACGATTTTAAGTTCGGCGGTGCGTCCCCGATCGTCTCCGTGCCAAATTCTGCGCCAGGGAACCCCTTTGACACCGTGTACATACTGCTTACATTCTTCCCACGAGGTGCAAATGCGCTTTTGGGGCTTGGCCACCTTGGTGTGACACTGAAACAGTCGAAAGATGTCGGCTGCATGGTGCTGAAAGGCTTTCCACCTGGCAGTAGCCTGAAGAGTTATTCCAAGTTGATTCACCCATTTGGGTTTGTCCGAAAATGGGTGCCCATGGGTGACCAAGAGTTAAGTGGTTGATAATCTGTTTCCCATGGAAAAAAATACATTTTTGGAGGGCAACCGTCCCGGTTTTGGACGACGCCGTTTTCTGGGCTTTGGACACCATAAAACTTTTGTTTCTTCTCCTGTTGGCCCACTCGATCCTTTAAGGAACGCGTGGCGAGAACTTCCACGAGTTCCATCTCCTTGGCAGGTTGCCACATTTGGAAAGTGACATGGTTTTGAGGATGCCAACAGTTCCATACAGTTCCATACAGTTCCAAGTGCTGCGACAAGTTTCATCATTGTACTCGTAGGCTGGGCCATCAGCTAGGCAAACCCTCTCCTTCTCCTAGCTCTGCCCAGGTTGATGGCTAGCTGGCTGCTATAGGATGCCATCGGGGGACGGGGGTCACATTCGCCCCTGAAAGAGGGTCACAATCGCCCCTGAACCAAAAGGGGTCACATTCGCCCCTGAACCACAATACTTTCAATGTGGTACTCAACCCTTTAGGGTTAAACCTGGGGACAAGGGGACATTTAGGGGGACTGGGGAAACTTTAGGGGGGACTTGGGGGCATATGGTAACTTGCCTCTCTATTCAATATGTTGCTCAACCCTTTAGGGTTAAACCTGGGGACAAGGGGACATTTAGGGGGACTGGGGAACCTTTAGGGGGGACTTGGGGGCATATGGTAACTTGCCTCTCTATTCAATATGTTACTCAACCCTTTAGGGTTTAACCTGGGGACAAGGGGGCATTTAGGGGGACTGGGGGACCTTTAGGGGGGACTTGGGGAAAAAAATGGAAAAATGGGGGTTTCAGGGCGTATATGTTTGTATGTTGCTTGTTATGATTTTGTGTTGGCGTTCAATGTTTCATCTTCGCCTTTGATGTTTTTTCAGGTGGGGTTTTGGGGGTAATTTTGTTGCTAAAGTGATGTGTCAATGTTTGGTTCAGATGAGGGGGATAATTGTTTAGACTGTTGGGGTTTTCTGTTTGTGTTTGGGTGGGTGATTACTTCATAATATGTTTTGTTAAGATATTATGAATTAATCTTTTATGCTTTCCACTTTCCTATTCCATCCCACCAATGTTCAATTACTCTCATTTGTGATAAGCAAGGTTTATTTGTATCGTTCAGTTCGTCCATTGCTATTGACAAAAGAGTTAGATTAATTATCATAGCGTTGAATTCTCCATCTCTGTTAAGTTCCTTTCCACAATCAATGATGACTTTTTTATCAGTGAGGTTTTCATACATCTTTTTCATAATGTCAAAATTTACAAACATATATATCGTCATATCCTTTACTCCTTCCCCTGATTTCATCCTATCAATTACTTTCTTCCAAAATTTGCTCCTTCCTCATCATCTGGTGAAGGCATAGGATGGCACTTTACAAAGTCTCTAATCTCTTCATCTTCTTTTTCTATTTGTTTTCTTTCCCAATCATCGTCCTCACTATCACTACCAAAGTCAGCATATATACCAATATTCCCTGTATCTATAACCTCAATTTTTGCTCTACTCATTTTCTCTTACTATATATAGATATTTTTTCCTTTAAGTATTTATCACTTTTTGTAGGTGTTCTTTTATTTCTTCTATGTTCAAATATTTCTCATAACCGTTGAACAGTTCTTCAACATATTCACGCAAGAAAATTTCCAAAATGTCTTTTATCTTGAACTCCCTGTTTCTAAACATAAAAGTTCGTTCAACATTAGGAAACCACCAGCATCTTCGTTGCTTACTGTAATTGATGAAATTAAGGTCGTGAAAGTTCTTTAGAATATGATAAGTGTATTTCCAATGGTTTTTGACATACGACTTCATCGCTTGAAGATATATCTTATCCTTTTGAAATTCTACCTTCAGTTTATAGGTGTCCAATAAAGCATCTATTTCTCTCTTCATTACTCTTACATTTGTTCGGTCGGTGTTGGATAAATAGATAGGTGATTTGTCCATCCTTGTTTTAAAGAAATGTATTTGTTTTTCAACTCTTGTTAGTTCTTTCTCTTCAAAATGGTCAAAATGATAGTTGAATGTTATATATCTGCGTTCCTTATCATTCAACTCTTTACATTTTGAACAGTGAAGGTTGTGATCACATATCTCATCACAAATTCCAGCAGGAAAAATGTTGTTCAATAAAACCTTAATGTCAGTCATTTCTTTCTTACAACATCCACAGTTTTTATAAGTAAATAGCATCCTCTTACTATATATATAGGTAATTTTTCTTTAAGTAGTTTTTTGGGGGGTCGTTCAGTTTTCGGGTTCGGGTTGGTTTTTATTTTCCCTTTCCTCCTCTTCCAGTTCTCTTATGACCATATCTATTTCACTCATTCCTTCGTTGGGGTCTTGTCCATTGGCGAGGTTTCTTAACCTCTCAAAATCCTTCACTTTGTGTCTTTCATTGGGTGGGAGGGTTTTGAGATGTTCCTTCAACTCTGTCAGGTCAAAGTATGTGTCTTCCTCCTCATCCTCATTTTCCAAAAACATTTCCATTCTTTGCTTTTCCATTTCCATAAGTTTGTTTTCCATATATTGGAATTTCATTTGCTTCTTGTAGCACTTGCCACACACATTCACGAAGGTTTTGAGCAAGTAGTTCCAATTAGGTTGGTTTCTATCGTTCAGGGTTATAACATCTGTCATTATACGACATCCACAGTCAAATTTAGTCATCTTATTTAGTCTTACTATATATATATAGGTATTTTTTCTTTAAGTATATTTTTTATTGTTGATAATTTTAAAAATCTAATATTACAATATATGGCAAGGAGACTATCAAGAGATGACATCATAAGCAATGTCTATTATAATCTTGAAACGGGCTTCGGTTCAATCAATGAGACCCTTAAGAAAGCCAAGGAGCAAGACCAGACCATCAACAGGGTGGATGTGGAAAACTTTATGAGGAAACAGCCCAACAAACAGATTAGAAAATACAGGGGGTCAAACTCCTACACCGCACCCTTCGCAAGGTTTGAATATCAGATTGACATAATGGATATGAAACCCCTTACCAAAGAACCAGAGACGAAAATTCCCATCAAGAACGACGAACCGAGATACGGGTTGGTGGTCATTGACATCTTCAGCAAGTTGGCAAACGTCGTCCCTATGAAAGAAAAATCCGGACCAATTACATTGTCGGCAATGAAAGAGAGTTTCAACAAAATGGGTTTTCCAATGTCCGTTTATAGTGATAATGACCGTGCCTTCCAAGCAGGGGTAAAAGAGTTCTTTGAGAAAGAAGGCATCACTCACGTCGTCACCCTAACTCACGCCAATGTTGTGGAGCGTTTCATAAGGACAATGAAGAATATGATACACGACAGGGTGAGGTTTAATCGCGGTAGTTGGACTGTTATGTTGTCCAAAGCGTTAGATAAATACAATGATACAGTCCATTCATCCACAAAAATGAAACCCAAGGATGCCCACGACGACAAGAACCATATGGACGTCAGGGTGAATTTGACAAGGAGGGAAAAGAACACTCGCAAATATCCAGAGGGCAAAGTGAATGATATGGTCAAGGTCTTTGAGAAGAAAAAAGACAACTACACCGAGAGGAAGGAGTATAACTCAAAGTGGAGCAATCAATCCTACAAAATCGTCAAGATAGAATACGATGACGTCGGAAACAGAACCTTCAAACTGGAAGGATTGAACAAACCTTATTTGAGGCACGAGATTTTGAAAGTATAAAACATTATCTATAATATTAATATATGACAGAGGTAGTCGTAAAAGAGATTGATAATGAAGAACCAAAGGAAGAAACAATACCAGAACCAATACAGGAAGAAGCACGGCAAAGCCCTGCTTCCTATCGGGAAGCACCGAAGGAAGAGGAGAAACCAGAAGAAACAATTGAACCACCCGTTCAAGAGAAACCACAACCAGCGCCAAAGCCCAAAAGGGTAAGACTGTCAAGGGCGAAACCACCTTTTGACCCAGAAGCATTCAAAAACGACCTTGTAAAACAAATAAAGGAAGAACTACAAAGTGCGATGTCCGCCAGAGACACCTACAACAAAGCCAAAGAGGAAAAGAACAAAGCGGCGAGAGAGAAATTGAAATCTTTAGCATCAAAAATTTTGTAAAGTATTATATATAAAAATGAACATCAAGGAACAGAAAATGGAACTCAACAAAACAGACATCTACGAAAACGTCCGCAAGGACATCAACAGAAAACAAACCGTCCATTCAAACAAAAGTGCCAACTACAGGAGCGGAACGCCCGAAATGCCAGACAGAAGAAAAAAAGTGTATAGTAGTTATGACCACTACTACCACAACGGCAGCAACACGGCAAGGATGCCAACTCACAACCATCATCTTTACCTGAAGCGTCTTCTTGAATATCACAACACCGAGCACGATTACAAGGTCTTACAAGTAAAGCAGAGGATGAAGGAAGAGAATGAGATGCTACAGAACGAAATGACAAGGTTGAGGGAGGTGAGGAAAAATCACAGATTGGAAGATTATCCAGAATATGAAACAGAGAATTGATGAGTATAAGCAGTGGTTGAGAGGCGATACACAAGATTAATATAAAAATCTAAAGTATTAATATATAGCAATGACAGCAGAAGTAATCAACGCAAAACAGGGATTGACACGAATACCCACTTACGCGGAACTCATCAAGGAAATAGACAGCCAAAGTTCAAAACCAATGACATCAGAAAAATCTTTGATAGGAACGCTTGGTATTTTCACGAAAGTCCGCAGGGTCAAGCACTGAACACAAACAACATCCACCCAGCAGACTTACAGCAAATGAACTTCAAAAAGATGGCAGAGGAAGCGACCGCGAGGAAGGAAGAAGAAACACCCAACCTTGGCTTTGAAGATATGACAGACTTGAGGGACGACGCCATCAGCGACTTTGAGATGTCCTTTGACAGAGAGGCAGAGTTGAGGGAAGAGAACGAAAGGAGAGTAGCAGAACAGGCAAACTTAAGTCATTCACAAGACCACTATATGGCAAACAAAGGAACATACGACGCCGTCGGAGCAACAGCATCGGCAGGGATACAAGAAGACGAAGAACCGCCTTCAAGCAGTAGAAGCATCTTAAAGAACTTCCTTAAATCATCCAAACCAGTCATCAAAGCAGTCGCCACAGCAGGAGGAACAGCAAAGGGAGGGTCAATAGGAGGACTAATAGC